TTTAAATGGAGTAAGATAGTATTATAACGGGTTACAATTAATGAACCATAACTAAAACCATATAGTATATAGTATAATATTTGTTAAGTTCAGAGATTTCAAAAATCAAGATGCTGCTAATTCTAGCTCAGAATAGAACCTACAATTTATTTTGCTTTAACATGTGTAGTATATTTGATAGGTACCACAAATAATTTATAACTTATTAACATTTGTATTCCAATAAATTTGAGTTAGTAGGAATAAGCCTTTTTTAGGTAGGTTTTAAAAAATAAAAAAAGTCCTTTCAAATTTTATTAAACTGACGTGCTATTAGAATTTGGAGAAAAGAGTGCAGTCCCACCATGTGAAGCGCACCATAAGATGATGAGTGTAGGTGCACCTTAGTGAGGTTCTATCCAAAATTAATTGGTGATGGAGAAGTAACTCACTAGGCTTATATACTAGACTCATTTTTCATATAGATTCAATGTGAGACAACTCACAAGTGATATTCCAACACGCTCCCTCACTTGTGAATCCTTCGTAAGTCTAAGCCCAAATCGGGAAAAGAGAGTGCGAGCCTGCCAGGTGAAACGTAACATGAGAGTGTGAGCCTAGGTGCACCTTAGTGAGGTTTCATCTCAAAACCAATTGGTGATGAGAGGAGTAGCCCACTAGACTTATATACTAGACTCATTTTCCCTATAAAATCAATGTGGGACAACTCCCAAATGATATTCCAACACGTGCATTAATTAATTTTACTTACGATCTTATTATATCACTTAGTTTTATTGTCATCAACCAAAGCTTCAAACTCACTTGTACGCCGCCAAAATAACTTATTATTAATCGTCAGCTAGTTTTACCAAATATATCATTGAGATCAAATATGACCCAATGTTTTGAATTAAACAAAAACTGCTATATTCTATGCATAAGACCGACGTGAATACATTGTTACAATTGTGTGAACATAATGAGGCTTTTAATGCTTGATTGTTGAACCCAATTTCAACTTTTTTAAGAGGTAAGTTTTAATTCCTATTTTTCCATTTAAGTGTGAATATGAAAATATGGGCAACCACATGATTAATAAATTCACAAATATGGAGCCAATTGCAACTAAAAAAATTTGCAAAATAAGAGCTTAGACACTTGAGCTGGGCAATCTATAAGCGTTCAAAGCCATTTTATTGGGGGAATAAAATGTTATGTTAAATGGGAGTAATATAATTAAATTACTTTTCCCTTTTGAAACCGCTTCAATTATTATTTCTTGCCTATAACGCTCAAGAGTCATGAGTCATCATCAATGACTATTTTTGGATGCGAAAAAGTTTTGTTACTCCGTTGGAAATTTGATGGGACACGTAACATTTAATCTTTTGACCTTCGATATTAATTGCATGGATTAGTTTTGTGCTAATCTATATCTATATATCTATATATAAAAAAAATTATCATTTACTAAAAATAGTAGTAAAAATTTAGGAAACATTTAATGCATACTGTTTTTGGAATTTTTTTTTTGAATATATGCATTAATTGCTTCTATTTAGACGTTTTTAAATAAGATCAAACTAAATAGGATCAAATAATTACTATAAATAAATTTATTAATATCTACAGTATTTTTATTGATATTTATTATAATAAATTACAGATTAATTTTCATGATTCATGTTGATAATATTTTGGTCAAGATAAATATTATTTTATTAATATTTGTAATATTTTCATTGATATTCATTATAATAAATTACAAGATTGATTTCTGTGATACATATTGATAATATTTTGGTCAAGATAATATTACACTATATTTTAAGTTATAACCACAATTTTTTTTTCACAAATATTTACTTTTTATTCAAAAATAATTATGGAAAATCGTCGCAGGTTAGGTAGAATTTTTTTTCCACGTAATCAGACAAAATCAAGTTGGTGAATTAATTTTTGCCAATATATTTGTTTCTTAAGCTTTATTTTGTTAATATTCAAATCGTTCTTCAAATTAATATAATTTACCATTTAAGAGATAATGACTAGTTACAATAAGTAGTTTTACTAATGGTACAAAATTAAAATTGAAACATATTAACTATTGTTTAGAATTTATTTGTATATTATTGGCACCGATAATTATATTTTTTCATTTTTTTATTTTGTTTTATTTCTATAATTAAATTCTTGTAAAATATATTTTCATTGCTGAGTACGCTAAATAAACTATAAATCCTTATAATGCGAATTAGAAAAATCTTGATCAAAGAGGGGCCAGTTTTTGGGATTTTCTAAATCAGAGTTGTTTAATTAGTATACAAAATTATATTCTAAAAAAACATGTGTATATTTTGTAAAATATTTATACACTATTTAATGTTAAATTTATTTACATATTTTAAATTTATTATATAAATAAATAATACCAACGTGTATTAAACAATTTTATTACATAAAATAAAAATAAAAAGAAGACGTACAACTTCTACAACTTTATAAATGATAATGACATTATATGACATAAAGTGTATAATAAAATAATAATGAAGTATTATATGGTGAACAAGAATAAGTAAAATTGTTATTCTCTCTTATATCAATGAATATATATATATATATATATATATATACTAAAATCAAATTTAAATTAGGATAAATGTGTTAGTGAAATAATATATTAATTATTTTAATATTTTGACTAAAACGTTGATTAAAAAAGGTGCAAAATATATTATAACCTTATTGTTTATACTTAACGCTAATTAAAATAGATGAAAAATAGATGATAATCCTATTGCTTTATATACTTAAACGGACAAATTAAGCATGTGAAAATAACTCATTTAATATTTCTGTCTCGTGCATCGCACGGGGTACGTACTAGTAAAGTTGAATAGTATGGAGTATTAAAATAATAACAGTGAAGTCTATTATTTAGGCTATGTTTGGTAAAATTAGCAGATAGCTGATAAGATATCTTATGGTTTATCAGTGATTTTTAAGCTTATAGTTTATAACTTATGACTTATAGTCGAAGATCGACTTGTCGAGCAAAGGGTCATTTGATCGACCACCTTATAAACCGAAAACAACCCAAAGGATTGACTTGAGTATGGTCAAACGTAAGAGCCTTCAGCGGAATTTCAGAGGAATCTTTACCCCATGTGCAGAGGACACGTGGCACAGAACAATTGGTGTAGGGCAATAATGGCGATAGTGGCGATAGCCTCTCTGACACATGCACACTGTGTCTACGGACGGAGAGATCCAGGCAGTTTTGGGCAGCCAGCTCAGCAGATACGGGCAACTCCTGGGATAGGTATTTCATCCTTATATAGGGGTGAGCTTTACTTGATGAGCACGATTTACCCATTTTTTACTCTTGAGAATTGAGTGAAACAAACACTAACTTAAGCATCGGGTGCTCTTGACCGGAAAATCTATCCGATGTGAGAGTTCTTTGCAAGTACGCGACGTTCTACCGACTAGGAGGAAGAAGGTGAACCAATTTCCAGCTCGTCGGGGAGTTTTGCGTTACCAACGAGCTTATTTGAAAAGTTACGAGGAAGCTTATGAAATAAGATCAAACTTTTTAAATATGCTCGTTCTACCAAACGAGGTTTATTTAAATACGGGAACCTTATAAGCTAATCAAATGTACTACAAGCTAGCTTATTTGTTTACCACACATAGCCTTAGAGGAATTTGATAATGTTCATTATTCCTTGATTTTTCAATGACTTTTAGGTTTTGTTTAATAAAACTGACTGATAAGCTAGCTTATAGCTTATCAGAAATTTTTAGCTTATAGCTTACGACTTATAGTTGAAAAACTAGCTTATATGATAAAATTGTTGGTAAAATTAACTGATAAGCTTGTTGTAATAAAAAATTCGACTAGCTTATTTTTGAAAAAACTACCTAAATAAGCTTATCAAATAAGATCGAGCTTTTTAAAAAACTCGTCCTATCAAACGAGACTTATTTCAACATCTACTTCATCATAATACTCCACCTATAAAAGTGGAAATTAAAGAACTGCTTGACACGTCATGAGAACAAAAAAACTGACTCCTAAGAGGAAAAATGATAAGAACACTTCGCAAGTTCAATTTCTATAATATATATGATATATTTAACCAAGCATTTTCAAGTCAGAAATTTATTCTTCACCATTAAATGTGTTTGACCAGAGAATTCTTAATTTGTTATAGTGGAGGAAAATATTGTTGGCTTATTATGTGGGATCAGAAATTCAACTTGATTGACCTAGCCTAACTCTAATAATTACATTACCAAATTAAAGAACAAATTTACAATTATAGTGATTTTTTTTTTTGTCCACGAACTGGAGTTAGACATGACCAGGTGCC